GAAATGAGCTGAATGACTGTGTAAATCTGCTGAATGACTGCTGAAATTAGCTGAATGACTGCTTAGATCAGCTGAATGGCTGCTGAAATCAGCTGAAGACTGCTGAGTTGCTAAAGTTAAAAGATGCAAAACACAGAGTTAAGCTAAATGTAACAAAATATTATCTAAAAAAATAAAAGGCTAGCCAAAAGCAGCTAAAGACTAGCTAAAAGTGATAAAAGCTTACGTAAAAGCTAAATGTTGTAAACGGTTAGCTAAAGGCAAAAAAAGACTAGTTAAAAGCTAAATGAAGTAAAAGGCTATAGCTAAAAGTGAAATGTGATAAAAAAGAAGAGGAACTAGAGTTAGCTAAATGCTTAATAAAAAAAATAAAAAAAAAGCTAAAAGTAATACCTAAAAAAAGCAAAAGTCTGATTCAAGGCTAAGTTTATTTCATTTTATGATGTCCCTGCTGAAGAAACATCTAACGGACAATAATTATTTAGACAGAACGTCCAGTCAGTGCTCCATATTTCAGTTTCACCGACTGGTCCGTGTGAACTCAGACCTGTTGAAGTCAAATCCGCTTTGTTTACGTTCAGTGCGTACCTGCATTTCAGCTTCAGCCGTCGCAGTAGTTCAGGGGAGGTGCGCCCCCTGCGGCCGGGAGGAGGAACTGCAGAGGAGGCGCTCAGGAAGCGTCACCGCCGTCCGGATCCAAACAGTTCCTTCTTCCGCAAACACAACCCGTTTATCGGCTCATCGATGCGGCGGCTCACTTCTGCCTTTCGCTTCCTGGCTCCGTTCGATTCCCGCTGCGCCTTCGACCTTTATGAGTGACTGATCCGGCGGCATGACGGCCAACAGCCGCTGTTCCGTGGCGGAGCCCCCGGGGCTGGAGACCCAGCGGCGGGAGATCGAGTCTCTGCTGCGGGAGAGTGAGCTCCAAGCTGGGGACACTTGGTGAGTGTTTCCCCGCCGACGCAGTCGCTCTGTCAGGCTCGAATGATGGCAGCTCTCGGCCGCCGTTAGCTGGAAGGTGACCGGTGGGTCCTGCGGCAGCGTGGAGCCGTTCTGGTTCCGGTTCTGGGATTGTTTGGACCCAACGGCTCGGGGGTTCTGTTAGCTCCGTTAGCCGCGTTAGCTGTCGATGCTAACAGCCGCGGTGAGGCGTTCAGGGTCCGAACGGAACATTTACATTTTATCTGTTTCTTTTTTAATAAACTTTATGCGCGTTACTTTCAGCCCCGGCGGGTTCCTCTGGGTCAGTAGAGCCGGAACTTTTACAGAAAACTGGACGCTTCAACAAATATTTTCAGTTTCGGTTTCCTGACAGAAGACCTCAAGTTTTTATTTTGTCTATAAAAATGAAAAGTAATTTACAAAACCAGACAAATTAATGAAATACTGTACATGAGACGAGCGCTGAAATGACTCCGTGTAGAAGTTGTTCAGTTTCTTCTGTAGAAGCAGTTCTTTGAGATGATCTTTGGACATTTTCTCTTTTTGTTTCCTCTCTGCTGCTTTAGTTCAGTTTTATCCAGGTGTAAAAAAGGTTTGTAAGCTCAGTCATCCAGGTAGATAACAACAACAACAAAGGTTAAATCACGTTTTGTTGTTTCTATCCAGGTGTGTTTTTAGACTTTAGACGTGTTGAGATGTTTGTCAGACGGAGATGAATCTGTTGCTATTTAAGAGTTCTCCACAGTCCAACATTTTTCAGTCAGGTCCGTTTCGCCTTCCATCCAGAAGGCTTCATCAGTCAAGGAAACACACAACAAAACTGATTCTTCCTCCAACAGCTTACTCCAAAGTGGAACAAACCAGTTCTGCTTGTGATAAGATGGTCTCTTTGGTACGCCCCTCTTCCTTGTTGACAGTCATGTCAAACTGGTTGAAAACAACAAAGTCTATGCTCAATAATCCAGGTATACAATCCAACATTTTTCAGTCAGGTCATCAGGACAGTTTCTTTTATTGACTTCTTTCCTTGACGGATGAAGACTTCCGGACCGAAGGCGAAACGTTTCAGCACAAAAAACAAAAGAAGAAGAAACTGTCCAGATGACCTGACTGAAAAATGTTGGATTGGATACCTGGATTATTGAGCATGGACTTTGTTGTTTTAGTTCTCCACAATGTTTGTGCTGATTTAAAGATTGATTGTACACCAGACCATGACAGCGCCTCCACCGTGTTAAGACTCACTGTTTTATTTAAACACTGACAGACACTTTATTTATGATCATTAAATTTGGACTCCTCGCGTCATAAACCCAGTACCTGTGATTCTCAGACCAGTTCGTCGTGGGTTTCCTTCATGCTTTCCTTGGCCTTCTCTTTGCTTCGCTCTCTTTCTGTTGCAGGGATTAAAAGAAGCTGCTCGCCGTCGCTCCGCCCACGTCAGCAGCGTTCTACTTCTGATATAATTTACAGGTTGTGTTGGGATTAAAAACTTCATGTCGTCTGAGTTTCACTGAAATCTACAAAATTCCTCCCAAACTTTTATGTCTCAGTTTCGTCACGAGTCGTAGAGAAGCGCAGTCCTACCGCTTTGGTTTCAAACACGTTATAAGGAAACTAGATTAAAATAAAGGTTGAGTGAATGCAGCACGGTGGTGCAGTTGGTAGAGCTGCCGCCTCTCAGTGAGAAGGTTACGCTGGTTCAATCCCAGCCGGGCGCCTTTTTTCTCCGGGTGCCCCAGTTTCCTCCCACAGAACAAACACACGTTTGTTCGACTCACTGGTGACTCTGAATGTCTCTGGGAGAGAGAGAGAGTGAAATAACATTATTTATTAACAAACACAATATTTTCTGTTTGTTAATAAAGACATCGAAGCGTTCCTGAATCTGATCAGCAGCTGCAGCCATCTTCAAGAATCAGTAAATCAGTTTTATTTTAGTTGGAACCCTTTTTTACGCTCGTGTGCATGTGTGTGTGCATGTGTGTGCGTGCGTGTGTGTTCCAGGTACGTGGTGTCTCGTCGCTGGTTTGAACAGTGGAAAGAGTTTGTGGAGAGCGGAGACCAGAACTCGTCGTCCTTCCCGGGTCAGATCGACAACACTGAACTGTTTGAAGGTCAGTGAACGCCTCATCCTGCTGAGTTGACCCGGCTCAGCCCGGCAGAACGTCGGAGCAGCCTGAACGCTCAGCAGTGCTCCTTTCCTTTCAGACCTCGACTCGTACCACCTGAAGGAGCGCCTGGCGGAGAACGAGGACTTCGTGTTGGTTCCGGCGGCGGCCTGGCACCAGCTGCTGCTCTGGTACGGTTCTGTGGACGGGCAGCCGGCGCTGGAGCGCAAGGTACTGATACACACACGAGCATACAAACGTTGTGCGTGTGTGTTTGACCCTGTGTTCTGGTCCAGGTGGTGGACCTGCCCAGCACTCTGAAGGTGGAGGTGTACCCCGTGGAGATCTTCCTGTGTCTCCATAGCAACATGGAGAACGTCACCACCGCGCAGTTCAGCCGCACCGACACCATACGTGAGTTTGTGTTCAAGACCTGGACCCTAAACTCAGCTTACACTGTAGTCCTAATCTTAACCCCAACCCAAACATGGCGTCCCGTCAGATTAGGACCGATCTTAGGTCCCACTGGACTGAGGTCCAGACCAGTTTTGGTGTTTATAACAGAAAACCTTGTTTATTTTAGTTTAGCATCCCGACTTCTCTGAACTCATACGTATCCTAGCTTGTTTTGATCATCTCCTACATTTTAACTGATATTAGCGTAGCTTATTTTAGCTTGTCTGAACTCGGCGTACCTTCACCGTCTTCGGCTTGGTTTAGATGTTCTTCGGTTTATTTTATATTAGCTTAGCCAAACTTAGGTTGGCTCGTTGTTTTAGTTTAATGTAGCGCAGTTTATTTTTCTTTAATAACTCGCGTTAGCTTCTCCTAGTTTATTTTTTCTAATATGTTTTAAATATTTTTAGTCTTTTTGTTATCTTGTTTATACTTGGCCTATATTAGCTTAGCTTAGCATAGCCTGAGTTAGTTTATCTAATATTTTATATTAATTTAGTTGATCTTGGTGCGTCTAAACTTGTTTATTATAATTAATATATTTTTAGTTTAACTGTTTATCTGACAAAACTTAATCTAATGAATCTTTTTTCATCTCATTTTCTCATTATTTCAGTTTGAAGAAGAGTTAAGACGAAAAATGTTAAAGTTATTTAGCTTTAAACACTAAATATTCAACTCTTCATGTAGGAAGCAGAAGTCCTGCAGCTGTCGTTACGTCAAGTATTTCTACTTACACTAAGTATTTATACTTACACTAAGTATTTCTACTTACACTAAGTATTTCTACTTACGCTAAGTATTTATACTTACACTAAGTATTTATACTTTAATAATTCCAGGAAAACAAAAACATTTCACACGTTTGTTTCCTGTGAAGCAGCTGATTGGTCGAAAAATAAACGTTTAGCACCAAGTTTCATCTTTAGTGACCTGGAGACCAAAACTCTTCACTGGAGGTCTGTTGTTACCTCTCGGTGTGTGTGTGTGTGTGTGCGTGTGCTTGTGTGTGCGCGTGCAGACACCATCCAGGCGGACATGTGTCGGGTCTTCTCGGTGCCTCCGAGCTCTGAGTGCCGTCTGTGGATGAAGAGTTCAGACAGCAGCTGCGAGCGTCTCAGGAACGTCCACATGAGCGTGTTGGAGGCCTGCCTGAGCTCAGGGATGGTGGGCGCACACACACACACACAGATCAACACTGAAGGCATGTGTGAAATATTACAGTAACAAATATTTTTCTTTGTGCGACATGTTGTCGAGGCAACAAGAAAACATCTCAAACTGTGTGTGTGTGTGTGTCAGACGCTGATCATGGAGACGAGGCATGCTGACGGCACCTGGCCGAGCTCCAGACCTCAGATCATGTAAGAACAAAGTTATTTTTTTGCGCTGGTGGATGTAGAGGTGTCACATGAGGTTCCAGCTTTGTAAACAAGTAAACATCACCTGTCACCTGCCCCTCCAGGTGTGCAGCACCAGCAGCCACTTTGATGGTTTGGTGTTAGAACTGGGAAGTCTGGTCTGTTAGAGGATCTAACATTTGAAAGGCCTGAGGTGGGAGTGACTCATGGACCAGTGGGTTGGGACAGAGGTCTACGTTCTGCAGACATGTTCTTGACTTCCTGTGTTGTAGTATTTGTAGGGAGATGTATGGACGCACCTACAAAGAGAAGATGATTCATTCTTTGACAGCTCCTGAAACACTGCGGCTTTAAGAGATGTTTGATCGGGAGCTTCTCTCTGTTTCCACATTTCTGCTGCCACTTCCTGTCTTCTCCTCCGTCCCATCCCATCATTTCATCAGGAGGAACTCTGTGGAGGAGCAGGACTCGTACCGAGGTCAGCCAGGGGTCTGCGGCCTCACCAACCTGGGCAACACCTGCTTCATGAACTCCGCCTTACAGGTCTGAACCCCCACAGAACAAACCCTCACTCAGTTCTTCTGTTTGGGGTTCTGATCCAGTTCTCCTCGTCTCTGCAGTGTCTGAGCAACACTCCTCCTCTGACTGAGTACTTCCTGCGGAGCTCCTACCTGGAGGAGCTGAACTTCACCAACCCTCTGGGGATGAAGGGGGAGATCGCCGAGGCATACGCTGATGTCATCAAGCAGATGTGGTCCGGACGCCACTACTCTGTGGTGCCACGGGTCTTCAAGGTAGACCGGTTGAATCGGAAGAGCTGACAAACTCCCAGTTGACTGACTCCCAGTTGACTGACTCCCAGTTGACTGACTCCCAACCGACTGACTCCCAATCGACTGACTCCCAGTTGACTGACTCCCAGCTGACTGACTCCCAGCTGACGGACTCCCAGCTGACGGGCCGTTGTGTCCTCACCTGGACCTTGCTGTGTTTGTGTGTCTGCGCAGACGAAGGTGGGTCACTTTGCGTCTCAGTTTCTGGGGTACCAGCAGCACGACAGTCAGGAACTGCTCTCCTTCCTGCTGGATGGGCTCCACGAGGACCTGAACCGGGTGAAAAACAAGGAGTACATCGAGCTCCGGGATGCTGATGGGCGACCGGACCAGGTCTGGGGTTTCACCAGGATGTAGTGTTTAAAGAGAAAAAGATCTTTATTCACTTTTTCTTCTTCTGGTCTCACAGGAAGTGGCTGAGGAGGCGTGGAGGAACCATCGCAGGCGGAACGACTCGGTGATTGTTGACACGTTTCACGGACTCTTCAAGTCCACGTTGGTCTGTCCTGAGTGCGACAAGGTGTCTGTGACCTTCGACCCCTTCTGCTACCTGAGCATCCCACTTCCAGTCAGCAAAGAGCGGGTCATGGAGGTCTTCTTCGTCTCTCTGGACCCCCACGCCAAACCTGTGCAGGTAGGACCCGTGGAGCGAACATCTCTGCAGGCAAACTGTTCAGAGCCCGTTGAGTTTCATGTCTGCTTGTTCCTGCAGCATCGGCTCGTGGTTCCTAAAGCAGGAAAAGTGTCGGACCTGTGCGCTGCTCTGTCAGAGATGAATAACGTCCCGCACAAACAGGTCAGTGTCAGGTCGGGATTAAAAAGCTGAAACTAAAAATATTTTAGGAAAACAACTTCTAGAAAAATGAGAAGTTTTCAATTCAGTTTATTTATAAAGCACCAAATCAGACCCAAGTTGTCTCAGGGACTTTACAGGAACATTCACATAAAAGACATTTAGTAAAGTTCTCTATCTAAGGAATCCAGCAGACAAGATGAATCTTGGCTTCGTTGCAGTCTCCCATCCTGAGCAAGCACAGTGGAGACAGTGGGAAGAAAAACTCCTTTTAACAGGAAGAAACCTCCAGCAGAACCAGCTCAGGACAAGAGACCATCTGCTTTGACCGGCTGGTTGAGAGGACAGGAAGGAGAGACAGACGAACACAAAATGGTAGGTCCAGGTATAGGTCCAGGTCCAGATATAGGTCCAGGTCCAGATATAGGTCCAGGTCCAGATATAGGTCCAGGTGTACCTAAAAGACAAAAAAAAACACATGTTAAGGATAGAAAAAACAATTACAAATACAAAACAGGTTGAGAGAGTAAGTAAAGACAGCAGCAGAGTGAAAAGTGTGGTCAGTTTGTCCTCCAGCAGTCTAAACCTATAGCAGCATAACTAAGGGACAGCTCAGGAAACCCAAGCCGACCCTAACTATAGGATTTATCAAAAAGGAAAGTCTTAAACTGGACAATGTGTCAGCCTCATGGACAGAAACTGGAAGTTGGTTCCACAAGAGAGGAGCCTGAGAACTGGAAGATCTTCCTCTCATTCTGCTTTTGTAAACTCTAGGAACCACAAGTAAACCTGCAGTCTGAGAGTGAAGTGCTCTGTTAGGAAAATATGGAACAATAAGATCTGTAATATAAGATGGAGCTAGGTTGTTGAGAGCTTTGTAGGTTAGAAGTAAGATTTAGAATTCTATTCTGGATTTGACAGGGAGCCAATGGAGAGAAGCTAAAACTGGAGAGAGATGATCTCTCCCAGTAACTCCAGTTAAGACTCTGGCAGCAGCATTTTGGATCAACTGAAGACGTTTTAAAGAAGTATTTGGACACCCAGATAATAAACCATTGCAATAGTCCAGTCTAGACGTGACAAATGCATGGACCAGTTTTTCTGCATCATCTTTAGATCAGATGTTTCTAATGTTAGTGATATTACGCAGGTGGAAGAAGGAGGTTCTAGTAACGTTTTTAATGTGGGGGATAAAAGACATGTCCTGATCAAAAATAACACCAAGATTTTTAACATTAGAGCTGGAGGACAGATTAATGCATCTAAGGAGGGAGAAAGACTGAAACATTCATTCCTAAGGTGCTCAGGTCCAAAAACCAAAACCTCAGTCTTGTCTGTTCAACAGGAGAAAATTAAGGGTCATCCAGGTTTTTATGTCTTTAAGACATGCTTGTAGTCTAAGTAGCTGATTGGATTCATTGGGTTTAATGGACAAATATAATTGTGTGTCATCAGCATAACAATGAAAATTTATCCCATTAAGTTTAATAATTTTACCTAATGGAAGAATATATAAAGTAAAGAGTATTGGTCCAAACATTGAACCCTGAGGAACTCCATGACTAATTTTGGTGCATAAAGAAGATTCATCATTTACATTTGCAAAATGGAATCTGTCAGATGAGTATGATTTAAACCATTTTAGAGTCGTTCCTGTAATCCCAACATCATATTCAAGTCTCTGTAGTAAAATATTGTGATCAACTGTATCAAATGCAGCACTGAGGTCTAACAGGACCAGTAGAGACACAAGTCCATTGTCTGAGGCCATGAGAATATCATTAGTGACTTTTACTAGTGCTGTTTCTGTGCTATGATGAGCTCTAAACTCTGACTGAAACTCTTCAAACAGATTATTAATTTGTAGATGTTCACGCAACTGACCTGCAACTATTTTCTGTAGAATTTTTTAGATGAAAGTTAGATTAGATATAGGTCTATAGTTGGCCAGAATTTCTGAATCAAGATCAGACTTCTTAAGTAAAGGTTTAATTACAGCAACCTTAAAATGCTGTGGTACAAAACCATCCATTAAAGACAAATTAAGTAGATCCAAAATGTGGACATTAATTAGGGGAAATACCTCTTTAAACAGTCTGGTTGGGATGGGATCTAGCAGGCATGTGGATGGGATCTAGCAGGCATGTGGATGGTTTGGATGAGATTATTATTTTTGACAATTCAGAGCTCAACAGGACAAAAACTGTCCAAACATCAGGTTCTAGTGAAATTTCTAAAGCTGCGTCATCCAACACGGAACATCAGCAGCAGGAAGGACAGTTTGAATGTTCTCTCCAATTGAAATAATTTTATTTATAAAGAATCTCATGAAGTCATTAGGGCCCGTCCTAACGAGGTTCGTCCTAACGGGGTTTGTCCTAACGAGGTTTGTCCTAACGAGGTTCGTCCTAACGAGGTTCGTCCTAACGAGGTTCGTCCTAACGCGTTTCGTCCTAAAGAGGTTCGTCCTAACGAGGTTCGTCCTAACGAGGTTCGTCCTAACGGGGTTTGTCCTAACGCGGTTCGTCCTAAAGAGGTTCGTCCTAACGAGGTTCGTCCTGACGAGGTTCGTCCTAACGAGGTTCGTCCTAACGCGTTTCGTCCTAACGCGGTTCGTCCTGACGCGG